TGGTTTCCTGCCGGCAGTCTGTAGTTGGTGGAGCTTCCCGTAATAAAAACAGGTGACTGCTGTTCTCTCTCCTTGTGCAGGGTGACTGGTCTTGTCTCCGCCCCTTCCTGTAATAAAGACCGGTCACTGCTGCACTCTCTCCTTGTGCAGGGTGACTGGTCTTGTCTCCGCCCCCTCCTGTAAGAAAGACCGGTCACTGCTGCACTCTCTCCTTGTGCAGGGTGACTGGTCTTGTCTCCACCCCCTGCTGTAGCTTTCTGCAGGCAACAAGTAGTGGGGGGAGCTTCCTGCAATACAGACCAGTGCTTTTTCCCCCCTCTATGAAGGGTGATTGTTCTTGTCTCCACACACTCCTGTAGAGGGAGAAGCTTCCTGTAATAAAGACTGGTTACTGCTGCTCTCTGTTATAGTGCAGGGTGACTGGTCTTGTCTCAGCCCCCCTCCTGTGGTTTCCTGCAGGCAGTTTGTAGTGGGAGGAGCTTCCCGTAATAAAAACAGGTGACTGCTGTTCTCTCTCCTTTTGTATGGTGACTAGTCTTTTCTCCGCCCCCTCCTGTAATAAAGACCGCTCACTGCTGCTCTCTCTCCTTGTGCAGGGTGACTGGTCTTGTCTCCGCCCCTTCCTGTAATTAAGACCGGTCATTGCTGCACTCTCTCCTTGTGCAGGGTGACTGGTCTTGTCTCAGCTCCTCCTGTGGTTTCCTGCAGGCAGTCTGTAGTGGGGAGGGGTGGGGGGGGTGTATTTGTTGGATTCAATTAGAATATTGAAACGACAGATTCATTGACAGATCAGATCCATATGTATATGGTGAGCAGGAAAGTTTGCACGTTATACAATGCATCTTTCTCGTCTCAGAGGGAGGCTTGACATTGACACACAATCACCCGGGGAATACAATCAACACAACTCGGGAAATGGAAAGCGAAGAAGCTGCCGCTGACGGAACTGCTCAGGTCCTTGTCACCTTTGATGAAGCGGCGCTCCGCCAGCCCCTGATAATAAACAGATTTTCAGCGTGATTATGACAGATTTAATAAGACGCGTCTCCCGCGTCTCCTGCTGGGAGAGTGAAAGGCGGGGTCAGAGGTCACCATAAATATTAACAGTTTCCGACGCTACAAAACGTTTCTGTAATAGAAGTAAACAGAGATAACTGTGGGCGGCCCCACCGGGAGGAATCTCAACAGGCCTCAGAAGACGCATCCGTCGAGGTGAATCAGGTCGTCGTTCAATAAAGCGGGTGAAGGTTTCAGAGGAGGAAGTTTATCGTTTCATCTTCACAAGAGGAAATAATAAAACTTGTCATCGTTGACCGCATACATGTGATGAGTCTCTGGGAACAATCTGCATGCATTAGAATGATACAAATAAACAATTCGCCCCCTGCAGAGCATGAGCGTTCGTTCTGTGCGATTAGAGGCAAAAACGAATGTTCATTATATTTTCTTTAGGTCGAATATAATGTAATGTGATATAATATAATACTGCGTTATGGCCACAAGATGGTGCTGAGGAGCGCAGGAAATGAAATCCTCTTTCCTGTGCTCCTCAGCTCCACCTAGTGACCATAATGTGGTATTACATGGCATTATATTTGACCTGAAAAGAAAACTAAGGGGGTTATTCTCGAAAGAGCCAAAGGACCCAGCTGTAGCTTCGGCTCGCTTCGGCTGCCTCTGCCCCTTTGTGCAGTCGAAGCGAAGGGCTGCTGTACGGGCTATTCACTATAGCCTGTACAGCGGCCGAGCGGCTCAGCCGAACCGAAGGCATATGCTTCGGCTCGACTGAGCCGAAGAGACAGCCGAAGCCAATCTTTCTCCATGCAAATGACAGCTGGGCGGAGCCAGCTGTGATATCACGGCTGGCTCCGCCCAGTTGTAATAAAATATTAGCGTCCCCAAATGACCTGGGGGCGCTGATCTGTCTTTAAACAATAACAACTGGGCGGAGCTTGCCCAATTGTTTTTCTTTTGCCGGCATCTGTCAGATACTTCGTTATGCGGCTGGAGTTTGCCGCATGCGGTCGGGTCGGCGTGCTGCGTTTTTGTTTTTTTTTCTTTTAAATATTTGTATTTATTTTGTCATTTTCCTGATTTTTTTACATTTTTAAAATAATTTTTCATTTATTTTTTTTAAAATTAATTTTCACTTATTTTCTAGTCTGCTCGGATACCACGGAGATACCGAGCAGAATAGCCGAGCCGAATGCCGCTATTCACTCACTGCTGTCCGGCCCCTATGAGAATATATGAGAATAGGGGCGAACGGCAGCGAGTGAGCCGCCGGAGCTTCGGCTCAACCGATCCAAATGTTGGATCGGCTGAGCCGAACATTCAGAGCATGCTCGGCTGACCGAAAGCGTACCGAGCCGGAGTGAATAGCCGAACAGCGTTCAGCTCATTCACTCGGTGGCCCCCGGCAGCTTTGTGAATGACCCACTTAGACTAACAACGTTCGTTCTTATTCATTTTTATCTGACTTTTGGCTGAAGTTGTGCCTAACAGATGATATGTTTATATACATCGGGGGGAATTTATCAAAACTGGAGCAGCAGAATCTGGAGCAGTTGCCTATGGCAACCAATCAGCTTCTCTCTTCAGTTAGTTCAGTTAAGGTTTGAAAATGCAAGGTGGATGCTGATTGGTTGCCATGGGCAACTGCACCAGATGCCGTCTGCTCCAGTATTGATAAATTCCCCTCATTGAATATTGTTTTGATGATACTTTTGTACCGCGCCGCGGTCTGTGCAGCCGCCACGGAGGAGATTATTTTCAGCCTCTGACAAATAACAATGTTCTCCGGCAGCGGTTATTACATTGTATATATATCTCCGTCTGACTCGTTATAGAGAACGGCGCTGACTTGCCGAACGCGCGCTAATGTATCGGGATCATTCGGCTGCACTCGGCGGATCTGAGAGTTGTCAGCTGTAAATAGATGTAAGATGGAATATTTTTGGGGGGAGCACATTAGCAGCAGGGTCCGGTGTTAGTATTGTGACCCGTCTGCTGGAAAGGGGTCACCAGAGATTTCTTATCTTCACTGCTGTGTGCCGGGGACTGCCGATCTGCAGCAGCTGGAGGATATATAAGGGTTAGAGGGTCACATTTAATTCAGCGGGATCTGCTCATCTATTATGGATGTGTCCCATGGATACCAGCGGTACAAGGGGGGCGTCATACGTGTAATCGGGTCCTGCCGACGCTGTTTGCGGTTAAAGCTGAACTCCGTGATCGGCAAGAAATGTCCAAATGAAATGTCTGTCTATGTGTATTTCTTCCAGATCTGTGCAGGAGCTCCCTGTAATAAAGACCACTCACTGCTGCTTCCCAACACATTGTGCAGGGTGACCGGTCTCGTCTCCGCCCCCTCCTGTAATAAAGACCGCTCACTGCTGCTTCCCCACCCCTGTGCAGGGTGACTGGTCTTGTCTCCACCCCCTCCTGTAATAAAGACTGGTCGCTGCTGCTCTCTCCTTGTGTAGGGTGACTGGTCTTGTCTCCGCCCCCTTCTGTAATAAAGACTGGTCGCTGCTGCTCTCTCCTTGTGTAGGGTGACTGGTCTTGTCTCCGCCCCCTTCTGTAATAAAGACTGGTCGCTGCTGCTCTCTCCTTGTGTAGGGTGACTGGTCTTGTCTCCGCCCCCTCCTGTAATAAAGACCGGTCGCTGCTGCTCTCTCCTTGTGTAGGGTGACTGGTCTTGTCTCCACCCCCTCCTGTAATAAAGACTGGTTGCTGCTGCTCTCTCCTTGTGCAGGGTGACTGGTCTTGTCTCCACCCCCTCCTGTAATAAAGACTGGTCACTGCTGCTCTCTCCTTGTGTAGGGGGACCGGTCACGTCTCCGCCCCCTCCTGTAATAAAGACTGGTCACTGCCGCTCTCTCCATGTGCAGGGTGACTGGCTGGGAGAGGACACGACCTGTAAGTGTTACTGAACTTCAGCAGAGAAGAATGAAGTCCTCCCCGGCTAGACAGGGCTGTGCTGTGTGGCAGAGCTGTGTAAAGCTCAGTACAGGAAGGACAAATATGCAAATATAAAGCAGCTCCCATATACAGCAAGTCATTTTAATCTGTGTATTTATTTGTTTGCGTGGAGTTCCCCTTTAAGCTTTCACTGTTGGTAAATACAGACACCTCCTCCATCCCCCGACGTTACAATTATGTATCCGGAGTAATTAGTGATGAATAATTAATGAGGACACCTGCAGAACGGCTGAACTTCTCCCGCGCTGCGCTCAGCATGACGAGTGATCGGCGGAGCTCCAACATCACCGGCACAACAGTTCCTGAGGTTGTCATCTATCTTCAAGAGGACCTGTCAGTGACTTTAGAGGTGAGTCCCGGACATGTCCCAATATACAGCCACAGAGAAGCTCCGCTTTTTATCAATAAAAAAACTGTCCTCGCGCTCCGGTGCGGTGACATGGCCTAGGCCAAGATGATGTCATCAGTATGCTGCAACCCAAGAGGAAGCATTTCCTCAGTCTCCTCTCCCCCAGTGATCAGTCCGCTGCAGGCAGGAGGAAGCATTTCCTCAGTCTCCCCTCCCCCAGTGATCAGTCCGCTGCAGGCAGGAGGAAGCATTTCCTCAGTCTCCCCTCCCCCAGTGATCAGTCCGCTGCAGTCAGGAGGAAGCATTTCCTCAGTCTCCCCTCCCCCAGTGATCAGTCTGCAACATTGTAACTTTGTAGCAAGTCACAAGGTGAGAGGTTGCAGCAAGGGCTGGTCTGTGTCAGTCATTTGTGTGTCCAACTGGATTTACGAGACTGTGTCATCTCTGAGCCGGCATCTCAGTCCAGGAAGAAGATGGTGACCCTGGATGATGCCTGCACAAAGATGGAAAAAGCGGTCCAGGGACAGTCTTGGCGGAATACTCCTTTAAAAACATGAAAGAGGATCTGTCACTCCCACTTCCCGGGTGGTGTATAGGCGGCTTAATGATTCCCGCCGAGCTCTGTTTTCACATACAGACCGCGGTCTTCAGTCACCTCAATTTACTGTCAGCGGGAAGCTTATACGAAGGTGACAATGAAACTCATTCCCACCTAAACACCTCATCCCGCCTCTTCCCATCGGACACGTCGGAAAATTCCGTATTTTCTCACAATTCCTGCTAACCAAGCGCGGCATTGCTGCCGAGACGTAGCGCTGTGATAAAATCCTGACGCGGTAAGCCCCTGCAAAGGAATACAGCCGATATACTGATGGAGGTTCATGCAATTCTCAGCTGATTCCTCACTTCTATAATGTATCCGTATCACCGAGACACCGCGCCGGGAGACGCAGCAACCGCGTCTGCACTCCGCCATGTGCCGAGAATGAGCTTCTGTCATCGCGTCTCCGTGAACCCAGCGCGTGCTCTCACATAAACTTCCACCTATCAGACATGTGCCATACGTTTCCTTCCCGTTACCATTTCCCTGAATGTCCGAATCCGAATTTTGCTCAAAAACTAAACTGAATGGGACATGTGACTTTTCTGGCCAATCAGACGTGTTTTCCGGTTCAATGCCTCCGAATGGGTCTGAACGTGAATTTTGGTTACGGCAACATGGGAGCCATATACAGTCTATACATATAATACTAAAGCCGAGGTTCCCAGACCCCAATGGCATTCGGGATCCGAATTTCCGAATTGCATTGGGGAGCTCCTGAATACCACTCGGGTCCGGGAGCCTCGGCTTTGGTATTAATATCTGTAGATGGTTTTCTGTGTTATTTACAACCAATATTCGTAAACTCGTCCAAAACTAACGACAATTCTGATTTTGTCCGAATCTGAAACCCGAATTTCGGATCCGAATCTTGAAATAACAAAATATCCGAGCTGAATTTTTCTGAAGCTTATATGTCTACTATCTATGAACTATCTATCTGTCCCAAATCTATGTACAGTATCTGTCTATCTATAGTGGTAAGAAAAAGTATGTGAACCCCTTGAAACCTCACAACTGATAACACACAAATATTTATCATTTATTCTATCTCCTCTCTCTCTATCTCTCCCTCTCCCCCTCTCTTCTCCCTCTCTATCTCCCCCTCATCTCTCTTCTCCCTCTCTATCTCCCCCTCATCTCTCTCTCTCCCTCTCTCTCTCCCCCCCTCATCTCTCTCTCTCTCCCTTTTTCTCTCTCTCTCCCCCTCTCTTCTCCCTCTCTCTCTCCCCCCCTCTCTATCATCTATCCATCTAGATAGATCTAGCTTGTCTCACATGGGCCATCTTCTGGGTTTCCTCCCACACTCCAAAGACATCCTGATAGGTTAATGGGCTGAGCTCCTTTCTAGCCGGTGTCTGTGAGAGGGGACGTTAGACTGTAAGCTCCTTGAAGTCGGGGACTGATGTGAATGTGGAATATGTAGAGCTCTGACAGCGCTCTATGAATGAATAATGAGGAGTATGTGTGAGGTCCGGTACTGATGTTGGATGAGAAGATCGGGCTCACAGTCAGCGTTCCTGTTCATTCCCAAGGTGCTCAGTATTGTTGAGGTCAGGACTCTGTGCGCGACACTCGGGTTCCTCCTCACCAGACTGGTCACACCATGGGGGGGAATTTATCAAAACTGGAGCAGCTGTGCTTGGCAACCAATCAGCATCTCTCTTCAGTTTGTGGAGTTAAGATTTGAAAATGAAAGAGAGAAGCTGATTGGATTTTGTCTGCTCCAGTTTTGACAATTGACTCTATGGGCCGGCTCTGTATACAGGGGGTCATGGTGGAATAGAAGCCCAAATGGTAGATGTGTTGGTCAGGTGTCCACCAACGTTTGGTCGTGCGGTGTATCCGATGAGGATCCACTCTGCTAATAATAATGTGTTTCATCCATTCATCTCCTTCTTCCTCCTGAAGACTTTCCTGACAACGCGCCTCCACCTGACTCATCAGTTTCTTTTCTCTGGCGCATGTGATGCGTCTTGCTCCATTATGGATTATCTGGCGCCATCCTCGGAGCCGCGGGGGAATTAGATCTTCCAATGGTATGATTCATTTTGTCCAAAAAAAAGTTTAGGACACGGCTTTAGTCATCTGTCTAAATCCCCCCGGTTGTGTTCCTGCCACGGGAGCACGCTAATTGAATGCGTTTTGCAATTAGTATTAACATATATTAGTATAAAATTAAACCCGTATTTAAATGCGGTCTCCGAAGAGTCGTGATTCCTCGCCATGATTATTCAAGAGGAAAATCTTTTTCTAGTTGGCTTCATTCACATTGAGGGCTGCGGGCTAGTGTAATTGACTCTACTTATTACTCTACTCTTTTTAGTTAAAATACACAAAGGGGTCTATTTATAATCAAAATGCGGAGCCGTTCTCCCTGGGAATTTTCCTGAACGTTCGTTTTGTGCAAATAGACGCATGAGGAACATTCTTAGATATCGGTTCTTTTCAGGTTGAAAGCTTGTAATGTAATACTGCGTCGCCTCTCGGACTTTTGGCTAAGATCAAGTGTAGTATCTGTTCTTATCAGTGATCAGGAGGGGAAAGGAGCCGCTGTACTGGCCTTATGGCTTGTATGGCTGGAATCCGAGTACTCTGCCTGATGGGTGATGGGGGTCCTAAAGGGTCCTGGCTATGGGAAGGAAACCGAGTGGGGGTCGGGAGTACTTCTTGGGTGCTGGGATCTGGCAGGGCCCAGTTCCTCCTGATTTGGATGGGTCTACCTTGTCTGGCCATGGGCTGGGAAGGCAGGAAGCCTGCGGTGTTTATTGCCCCCTGGAGTGGTGACCCAGGAGTGCCCAACTAGCACTATGGGTTTGGGACCCCACTGTGTGAACGGCACTTTGGTAGTCAGGAACCACCTGAGGTCACAACAGGAGTCAGCAGAGACAAGCCGTAATCAGGAACTACCTGAGGTCACACTGGGAGTCAGCAGAGACAAACCATAGTCAGAAACTGGCCAAGGTCCCACCGAGAGTCAGCAGAGACAAGCCATAGTCAGGAAGCTACCTGAGGGCACACTGAGAGTCAGCAGAGACAAGCCATAGTCAAAAACTGGCGAAGGTCGCACCGAGAGTCAGCAGAGACAAGCCATAGTCAAAAACTGGCGAAGGTCGCACCGAGAGTCAGCAGAGACAAGCCATAGTCAAAAACTGGCGAAGGTCGCACCGAGAGTCAGCAGAGACAAGCCATAGTCAGAAACTGGCCAGGGTCGCACCGAGAGTCAGCAGAGACAAGCCATAGTCAGGAAGCTACCTGAGGTCACACTGAGAGTCAGCAGAGACAAGCCATAGTCAG